CCAATTACTTAAAAACACGAATAATTGCAGTTCTCTGGTGCGTACCAAAACGCAAGCCGCGAATATTAGGTTAGCCGTAAGTCTACATCGGTAAAGTTTTGAAGCAGTTATTCAAGTTTTTCTTACACAAAGCTTTGAAAAGAGTTAAAAAAGAGCATCAAAAATCTCATTATTATGATTCCGTTGATACAATTTTTTACATTTTTATGTAGATTTTTTAAGCTCAAACTGTTTTGTTATCTGAGGGGATTGTTTCCAAAAAATCCTTTAAGAAACTATTTTTATTTGTTTTTGTTATTTTATGGCCTTATAACAATTATATTAAAAAAATTTTATTGAGCTCGAGGCCGTTTTTAACCCTTTGTCTGACACATGAGTCCAGCCAGGCCTTTTCCATTTTCAAATTACAAAAAAGGGTACTTTAAATATAGCTAGAGGCTTGAAATTTCAGGTAGCTTACTAAAGTTTAGTGAATTACCAATCTGTAAAAAATCGTGTTGGTATCATATATATAAAGCTAGATATATAGAGATGTTGATTAATACATCACATTCGTAACACATAGGTCTGGCTGGACCCACATATATTCCTATGTAATTTTTACCTAAAATGAAGGAATGCAACCGTTTTTCAAAGTTTTATTTTGAATTTTTGAATTAGCATGGCAAGAGATGATTTGCATTTTTAACCGACTTCCAAAAAAGGAGGAGGTTATCAGTTCGTCGGAATATTTTTTGTATGTATGTTACCGCATAACTTTGGACCACGTCAACCGAGAATTCTTTTTGCATCGGAAAGGTAGTACCTCAGAGGTGGTCCCATACTAATCTGGTTAAGATCCGATCAGTGGATCATGAGCGCTTGGCCTGTAGATGTGCAAACTGGTTTATTTTTTCGAAAGGGGTTGCCACCTGTTAAATAATTTTACTCAAGTTATTTACTAATCAATGCCCTCAGATCCGCACCCTCCGCTCGATCTTCAAAACTGAGGTACCAAATTAAAGGGCTTAGGGTGTGGATGTTCAAGAAGGTTTTACTTTTTCGAAAAAAGTTGCCACCTGTTAAGAAATTGAGCTCAAATTAATTAATAAGTTAAATCAATTATTAAATATGGGTAGCAATCGAAATGGTTTTGAAAAGGTTTTATAACTTAACTATGTAAAGGAGGGTTGCCACATGTAAAAAAAAAATTATTCAATTTTAATTATGTAAAGGAATTTGGCAAGTGAATAAGGTATCGCTATATGGGTGTCATATAAAAGAGGTTTAAGAAGGTAGTAGTTTGGAAATATCTTGGATAGGGTTGCCACCTATTTAAGAAGTCTAATTGAACTATTTCATACCCAAGTTATATGAAATATGAGCGATGGATGTCAAATGAAAGAGTTACAAGAAATTATTGGGGGATTCACAACGGTGTCGTATTGTTGTATGTCGTAAACTTTAAAAGCACCACTGAGAAATGGTTTAGATTAATCATTAGGAATATTTTTAGAGGTTATTGAATAGGGTTTCACCTGTTTAAATAGTTTAATTAAATGTTGGCGTTTTGACGTCATGCGGGTTCACTAGTATATGTAGTTTTTTAAATGAGAATTGAAGTCGGTTTTTTTTTCAAAAAATTACTTGTTACCTAAAATGATGTTACTCGGAGCTCGCTTGTGCTATGCTAATCCTCTCTTGACCACAGCGCTCAATTTTGCGATGGTGTTGAGGTCTGGGATTTGTGCTGACCACTTCATTACAAGAAAATTTTTCCCAAGCAGCCGGCGGTGTCGAATATTTTCAGAATCCTTTGGATCTCCGTCCTGCTGGCAAACAACTTCTTCCGCAGGGTTTGCGCTTTTGTCTACAAAGTCCGGCAAATTTGTTTGGAGGATATGTTCATTATACCTTTTATATTAACCCAAGACACTAAATGCCAGCAAGCAAAACATTATTACACGCCATTAAGCTGCCACTTAAATTTTGTAAAAGTCACGAGAATTGGAGCTTTTGCACTTAAAAGGGGTAATATGGTCCGATGGAACGAAAATTAATTGTTTCCAAAACGATAAAAAGGCATATTTTTGGGAAACACCTTATCAACATCTTCAAAAACACCATACAAAGAAAAACATGTAACATGGTGGCCAGCACAAATCCCAGACCTCAAAGCTATCGAAAAATTGAGCGCTGTGGTCAAGAGAGGATTAGCATAGCACAAGCGAGCTCCAGTAACATGAAAGAGCTTTGGAGGTGAGCAAAATTATAATGGGGTAATATTCCAAGCGAAATCATAGAAAACTCAGTAGAGAGCATTCCCGGACGTATGAAAATCGCTATTAAAAGCAAAGGAGTCTCCACAATCCTCTTGATATATACCTCCTAAAAGTTCAAAACTGAGTGAAGATAGTTGCCTTGCGTTTTTGCTGCGAATCACTTGTTAATTTTTCTATTTACTGGGCTTTATACCCTAGGTAATAAGGAAAAATTGCTGAAAATTTCAAAGCAATCCGCTTATTATTAAAAAAGTTATGTTACTGTAAGTAATAAAATGTCGAACATGCACCCGGTTTTGATCGCCAGTGTATTTAAATAGTAAAATAAAAAAGAAAGCCCTTAAATTAAGTAAATATTTGAATAACATACAATAAATAAGTTTAATTGAACAAATGTGGCACATAATTTCTATATAAATTCATACAATTTGCATGTGGGTCCAGCCAGACTCATGCGTACCGAATGTGCCAATCGAAACATGTGTCTGACGGAGAGTTAATGAAAAACTCATTGTGGAAAAGCAACAATAATTTGAAAAAATGGTAGAAGTGATAGCTATTTCGGAAATCACCACATTTCCTCATCAGACTTCTTTCAGTAGGATTCGAAACGACGATCCCACTGACTCAGCCAGTTGCCTACGCACTGTGCTAAGTTAGCCTTGTAAATTATCGTTGCCTTTTTCTCACTTTTTCATTTGCTAAGCCAACACAATCAAGCTCAGCTATTCCGCTACGATTTACACTTAATCATGTGGTTCTTGGTTTTTGTTAATAATTCTATTTTTGAGAATGTTTAACTGTTAGGTGTGCTCCTTCCTAAGTTATTTGTTTTGGTTTTGTTTTGTTAAGGACATGATCAAATGTAAATCGTAGCGGAATAGCTGCGCTTGATTGTGTTGGCTTAGCAAATAAAAAAGTGGGAAAAAGCAACGATAACACAGGTCAACAACGTTTTGTTCTAGGAAACTGTAGGGTCATTTTCGAAGTAATTTTTTGCGTAGAATCCGAATCCGGGGT